CAACAAAGAGATGGAATTAACCGTAATATGCAATTCATTCTTCAGTTAACTTTGCATAATTCAAAGGATAGACCTATTTTACATCACACTACAGGAAACACATTAAGGTACTTGTAGGTTTATTTGTCCATTCTATGAGGAAATGCCATACAACAATTAAACTAAATTTCCATTTGTCAATGTGGTAAAATCTAAAATAAAGATTCAAATGACTTAGGCAAAACGCAGAAGAAAAGATACATATAAAATTTAAAAACACAAAATTATACATTTTCTATAGGTACATGTAGATACATAGTAGAAGTAATGCAGGCCAGGCAAGCACCAAAATTAGGGCTTAGCCTGGGAGGGTTCTTGGCTTCACCCAGGGAGGAATTCAAGGATGAGCCAGTAGTGTCAGCAAATTTTCTTGAAATGGCAATGTACAGCAGCAGCAGACGTATTGCTTCTAGTGGAGCAGGACTACCCCACTGGCAGTGTACCCAGAGTAGCAGCTCAGAGGAGGTTCTGAAGTCATTTTATACCCACTTTTAGTTATATGCAGATTAACAGGTGGATTATGCAGAAGTTTCTAGAAAAAGGGTGGTAACTTCTGGGTTGTCAGGTCATTCCTATGGAAAGGGTGATAACTTCTGTGTGTAGTCATGGCAAGGATAAACTGGCATGGCACACTGGTGGGCATGTCTTATGGAGAGGTACTTCCAACACGTCCCTGTTTTCACTAGTCCTCAATCTAGTCTGATGTCTGAGCCCCACCACCCAAGTTAAGTCTTGCCTGCTGAGTCATGTCTGGCCTCCTGCCTCAGAAGGGTGGTAACTTTTCCTTACATTTCCTCACAGAATGGACCTTCATTTCCTAATAGAATGGACAAATAAACCTTCATACTCAGAAGTATGAAGCATGACTGTTGTTACAAACACTACCTTTAGAATAGTAATTAACCTAAGGAATAGAAAAAGTATAAGATTGGGTTTAGCTGTATATGTAACATTTCCTGTCTTTGAAAAGAGAAACTGAAGCAAATATTCAAAATGTAATTATTTGTAGAATCTGATAGTTACATATTTTTATTCATTTATTTATTATACTTTAAGTTCTGGGGTACATGTGCAGATTGTACAGGTTTGTTACATAGGTATACATGTGCCATGATAGTGGTTTGCTGCATTGATCACTCCATCATCTACATAAGGTACTTCTCCTAATCCTATCCCTCTCCAATCCTCCCACCTGCTGCTATTCCTCCTGTAGCCCCCACCCTCCAGGCCCCCGTGTGTGATTTTCCCCTCCCTGTGTCCATGTGTTCTCATTGTTCAACACCCACTTATGAGTAAGAACATGCAATGTTTGGTTTTCTGTTCTTGGGTCAGTTTGCTGAGAATGATAGTTTCCAGTTTCATCCATGTCCCTGCAAAGGACATTAATCGATCTTTTTTTATGACTGCATTGTTTCTGCTTTCCTGAAATATCTGTAGCTAAAAATAATTTCTAATTGTTACCAGGCATAAGAAAATGTTTTAAATAAATAGTATATAAAAATATTCCAAAAATAATATTCAAGAAGCTGATGTTGTGCAATGTCACACAGAACTGAGAAAAGCAATTTTCATTATGCTAAAATATTATAAATAACATATGTGCATTAATTAAGGATTTGGCAGGAAAAAAGGACTCACACCAGGTATTGCAACAGAATGAATGTAACATGAGAAATTCATTAAACAGGTGTTAGGGAACGTTGAGGCAACATAACAAGTAACTGTAGATAAGAATGACCACCCTAATGGTGGGGGAACAAAGTGTAATGTTGGCAATATCAGAGCCTAGAAATTTGGTAGAGGATCTCTATAGATCTGGAACTCAGATTTTGGATAGGGCACTGCACAGTTAATGCTGATGTATCTAAAAGATCATGATAAGGTTAGGAGACTAAAACCAAGCTAGAGATTAGAACTACCTACACTTCCTGGAGAGAAGAACCCTTGCTGGAGTGAGGTTAGAGATAAGGACAGAGCAGGAAGAAAACAGATAGAATATGGCTGGGCACAATGGCTCATGCCTGTAATCCCAGCACTTTGGGAGGCCAAGGTAGGCAGATCACTTGAGCCCAGAACTTTGAGACCAGCCTGAGTGACATAGTGAGACCTTGTCTATATAAAAAATACAAAAATTAACTGGGCATGGTGGCACACACTTATAGACCCAGCTTCTCAAGAGGCTGAAGAAGGAGGATCACTTAAGCCTAGGAGGTCACAGTGAGCCAAGATCTTGCCACTGCACTCCAGCCTAGTAGAGCAAGACCCTGTCTCAAAAAGAATAAATAAAGAAAGAATAAAATCTCTTCTCCTACCTTCCAGTCTCCTTCTATTGCCCTCTGAGATTTTAACAAGAGTACTCAGTTAGAACATGAAAAATGAGAACTGATGGCTTCAAGTTAGTTTTATTATTCAAATTGGTTTGGAAACTTCTTGGGGTATTTTCTTAGAGCTGTAGCATAGAATTTGTACTATCCTCAATGGAAGGAGACTCTGAAGAATTTCATTTTCTGAACATCAACAGTGATAACTAACAATCGTTTTAGGTCAAAAAATTGAATGATATCAAGCAGAAAATAATGTTCACATGTTCTCTTAAAAAAAGATAAATTTAAACATTTTGCCACCTTTAGCCCTTTCAAAGAAGAGATGGAGATATAAAAAAATCAAACAAACTGATAACCAAATAAATTACAAAAATGAACAATGGCCACATGCATGCAATCTTTGCTTTTAGAATAAATTCATTGTTGGAAAGTTCTGTAATATTAATTATAAGTCTTTAGAATAAAAACTGTCAGAAAAGCCTGGGGAAAATCCAACAAACGAATAAGAAGTTTAGAAATATAGGTACAATTTTAGATGAAATTAAGGACTTGTAAGCCAGAGTTTATAAAGAACTCTTTTAACTCAATAAAATGAGAGGCCAAGACAGACAACCCAATTTAAAAATGAGCAAATGATTTGTATACATTTCTTCAAACAGAGTCAAACAAATGGCCAATAAGCACATTTAAAAACTGCTCAACCTAATTAAATGTAAGGGAAATGCAAATTAAAACCACGATGAGATACCACTTTGTACCTACAAAAGTGGCTATAGAGACACAATACTGGATGTTGGTGAGAATTTAAAGACACTAGTTTTAAACACTGCTGGTAGTAATGTGAAATAATGCAGCCACAGTGGAAAACAGTTTGACAGTTTCTTAAAAAGCTAAGTATTTACTTGTCATATGACCCAGCAATTTCTCTCCTAGAAATCTACCCAACAGAAATGAAACCATATGTGAACACAAATATCTTTATTTATATGTTCAGAGCAACATTATTCCTAACAGCCAAGAAGTGAGAACAATCCAAATGTCCATCAAGTGGTGAACCTATAAATAAAATAGGTCTTTTCCATGCAATGGAATACTATTCGGCAATGATAAAAATTAAGTATCAATACATATTACAACAGATGAGCCTCAAGAACATCATGCTAAGTGCAAGAAGCCGGACCCAAAATACTGCATGTAGTATGATTCCATTTATATAAGATGTAGAAAAGAAAAACTTATAAAGACAGAAAACAACTCAGTGGTACCTAGGATTGAGAATATTAATAGGCATGAGGAAACTTTTTAGGGTCATGGAAATATTCTAAAACTGGATTGTGGTGATGCACAACTCTAGAAATTTACTAAAAGTCAATGAATTATAAACTTACAGTGTGTACATTTTATGGCATGTAAATTGTAGTTTGACAAAGCTGTTAAAAAAATAAGCCAATTATGTGATCTTGTTAAAAACTGGGTGGGAAAAGTGAAACAAGCCTACAAAACAGCAGGCTGAATCTATCAAGAGCAGCAATAGATTCAGAGCTTTTCAAAAAGCATCTTCAGAAAATATTATTTGGAAATATTATTATTCAGAATATTATTATTCAATAATATTTTGAATATTATTATTCAAAATAATATTATTCAGAAAATATTATCTTCAGAAAATAAATACTCATACCTCGCTCAAAAAGTAACCAGAAAAATATCAATGGGGAAAAAGAAAGGAAACCCTTCTAAAAGTTATTCCAAATACTTACCTTATAAAGTCTAAAAAGGTGATAGAGGAGAAATACTGATCAACTACATCATTTATCTTCTCAAATATTGCATTTATTACACAATATCAAAATGCTTATGCACCTAACAATGGACAATGTTAGAATGGAAGATGAAAATACCACCATCCTCTCCATCTGGTATATTGCTTTATTTTGTTCTGGCATTTGAGTTTTATGTTTTGCTACTGTATTCCCAAATTCTCTTTCCTATTTGTGATTTGCCACAATATCTGTTGGGGAACAGTAACATGAGCTGAGTAAATTATTGTTTTATTTTACTTGTGAATTATAACATGCCAAAACGTTAGAATTAGAGAGACCCCCAAAATTACTAGTTCATACTCTTTACTGGAGAGACTGTTTCTCTCCTTTAGTGCACAAAGCTATGAAATACCGATTTACTTTCAAAAGAAACCAAGGGGGATTATCAATGAGGTTTGGTTTGACTCACCTTATACATGGCACAAAGGAAAGAATATTTCACTTTCAAGGACGGTTATAAACACACACACACTATTGGAGTCATTAAATCACTGATTTGATGGCCAAGACTGGGAATGCAAGCAAGACAACATTTAAAAGAATGGAATCCTACTACTTCGAGAGGCTGAGACAGGCTGATCATGAGGTCAGGAGATTGAGACCATCCTGGCCAACATGGTGAAATCCTGCCTCTTCTAAAAAACACACACACACACACAAAAATTAACTGGGCATGGTGGCGAGTGCCTATAATCCCAGCTACTCGGGAGGCTGAGGCAGGAGAATCGCTTGAAACAGGGAGTCAGTGAGGTGACTTGAAACAGAGAGGTTACAGTAAGCCGAGATCATCCACTGCACTCCAGCCTGGCGACAGAGCAAGACTCTGTCTAAAAAAAATTTAATAAAAAAAAGAATGGATGATTTTCATAATCATATGAATAACACTGGTGGTTTTTTCTAAAAGCAGCAATGCCATGACAACAATCATCTTAAGGAGAAGAAAATCTGCCAAAGAAGAGGATGCTGTTGGATTCATTGTGCCTGATGAAGAACAGGAAGGGATGATTGCAGTGGACATTTTCATGACCGGGGGCTGATGTAACAGTAAAGCCTAGGCCGGTGGCAGCTGCAGCCTCGGTGCCTTCCTCGGTGACCGCCACAGAGGAACTGTGCAGGAACTTCTGGGCATACAACCCGGAGTGCGAGGACATTCCCGAGTAGTCAGCTTTGTGCTCACTGAAGGCGTCACCCATCCCCATGGCGACCAGGACTTCCTCAAGGTCATAACTGTCCTCCACCTCAAACCGGGGCAAGTGCAAATTCACCCTTCTTTCTTCCAAATGCCCTGGACTAGTCCACTCCACCAATTTCTCAGGACTTATTTTATCTATTATCTATTTTCAAAAAATAGAAGGATAGAATGGTATGATTAACGATAAAAAAATCTAAAACTGTGTAACACTGATTTACATCAGTCAGAAGTTATTAACTTTAGTAACAGTTAAAAGTGGAAATTTTAGTTTATTAGATTGTTTTCTTTATACAGCAGGTGGTTATCTTATATTTCTCTTTTTTTCACATCAGTAAATATTCTATAATTTTACTTTCATTGGTACAAAATAGTAAGCTATACGTTGGTATAAAAACTTACTTAACCAACACCCTGTTGCTGAGCATTGTTTCTTTCTTTCTTTTTTTTAATATATATATTTTATTTCACTTTAGGTTCTGGGGTACATGTGCAGAACATGCAGGACTGTAGCATAGGTACATATATGGCAATGTGGTTTGCTGCTTTCATCCCCACGTCACCTATATCTGGCATTTCTCCCAATGTTATTCCTCCCCAACCTCCCTACCCCCAACTGTCCCTCCCCTATTCCCCCGGAACAGACCCCAGTTATCTTATATTTTCTATTTAAATTATCTGTGTATGTGTGGAAATCCAATAGCATTAAATAAATTTTTAAAGATTAAAAATAAGTCATTTCTTATTTTATCAACCTAATACATATTTCATTTTAACTACCTTCCCTAGTCTTTGAATGCATATATATTTGCATAGTTGCAATCACAATGAATGTTTATTTTATTTGAACATTCAAATAAAATGAAGTAAATTTAATGAAGGAAAACTTTTGCTTCATTTTATTTGAACATTCAAATAAAATGAAGTAAAAATGAAGTAAATTTTTCACACTATTACATATCTCTACTATCTTCAAACTGCTAGATAATATTCTCATTACGTTGATAAATTCTTCCCCATATTTTGTTATTAATTCACTTTACAAACATTTAGTCTATATCGGGTTTATGATAGTTTTGATAGTTACTAAGGATACAAAAATAATAATCACTATGAATTTCAAACTAGGCATTTCAGTGTATCTAACACTAAAATAACTGATTTGACACAGAAAAGCAATTTTCTACATTATTTATTTAGGGTAATTCTCATGACTGGGGTTTTTAATCAGAATATAAATCCTCTCAAAGCTCTCAGACATATTGGCATTTTGCTGTCCCAAAATATTTTCCAACTTAAAATGCTACTAGCAATATTTTACAGAAGTAGCACAGCATCTGGTGTTATAAGAAGATAGCAGCTCTCATTGCTGAGTGCTTTCTGTGTCCTAGACTCCTCCAAGGCTACATTTCTCTAATCACTACAACAGTGCTACACATTAAGCACCATGGGCTCCTCTTTAGAGATGGGGAAGTATTAAAGCTCAAGGAAGTTAAGAAGCTTCAAGGGTCAGAAAGCCACTAAAGAACAGGGACTTGAAACAAAGCTCTCCTGATTTTCAAAATGCAGGGCACTAACCGCATACATTTTTTAACTACAAAACGGGTGACACTAAATCAATGCTCTAAGGATGTAAGAAAGAAATTCAAAAGCTCCAAGAGCCTACTGAACAGTGTGCAGAATTGGTTGTATATATGCATATGTGATTTTATTTTTCAGAAAGGGGTCTGTAGATATCAGCCATTTCTGAGAATGGTGGGTGATCTTTAGGACTCCCATATTATCTTAAATTTTCATTTTAGCTCATCCCAAAAATTCTAGGATTTGGTTGTTCTCAAGAAACCTGACGTGTACTATTTAATGCTCCCCTGTTGACATCCATCTACAGCTGCTGCACAGTGAGAAACACTTTCTATTTGACACTGCTGGCCACCAGCTCCTATTCAGAAGCCCAGGGACACAAAGCCTCAGGAGATGGAAACAAGAATAAGGAGATGCAAGTATTTACCTTTTCCAGACCATCGATGTCATTGGGCAGAAGCACAAACATGCTTAGATCATTGTTTTTATATGGAATCCCTAGAATTTTGGCCTGCAAGTCCTCCAGGAAAGTGAATCTAAAGGAATCGCTCTGTGTCATCATCTGCACAGATTTACTTGTGTTCTGTAACAGATTAACAGAGCACACAATATTAAAGTACAGAAGACCAAAGGCATTAAGGCAACCAAGTCAGCTTATCAAAATAATTAGTTCAATCTAAATAAAGCCGAATAGCAGAGTCTCAGAATGAGCATTTGCTACCTACCAGTGTGCATTTGCTTAAACGTGACTTTAGATTTTTTTTTTTTTTTAAGAAGGAGTCTTGCTTTGTCACCAGGCTGGAGTGCAGTGGCATGATCTCATCTCACTGCAACCTCCGCCTCCCAGGTTCAAGCAATTCTCCTGCCTCAGCCTCCCAAGTAGCTGGGACTGCAGGCACACACCACCACACCCTGCTAATTGTATTTTTAGTGGAGACGTGGTTTCATCATGTTGGCCAGGGTGGCCTCAACCTCTTGACCTGGTGATCCGCCCAACTCGGCCTCCCAAAGTCCTGGGATTACAGGTGTGAGCCACTGCACCAAACCATGACTTTAGATGTTACATCCCATGTGTAAGGACATCACAAAAATAAATTAAAGACCATACCTTATTCATCCAAAATTTCTCTTCCTTGGTATTTTCTTTCTTAAACTCCCTGTCCCATTGCCCTTTAAAATAAACTGTGTTCACCAGCACCAGCTTCGTAGAGCTACTAATAGAGCCACCTGGGAGCAAGTCCTTGATTTTTTCTGCAAATGAAGAAACAGAAAAAGGTTAGCCCATCTTCCAAAGGACAAGAAATATGTATGACAGATATGACGCAGATGGGCTTGACTGATCATTAAAAACCCAGCCAGGTCAGCACCTGAGGGCCTTGCTGACAGAGGGCTCCCTGGCAGAATCAGCAGGGAGGTTCTGATTTTGCCCATTGCCTATTTATACCACTTAATAAATTAAGGTTGATGGTTAAGAGTCCGGACTCTGGGGTCAGATGCCTCTGTTAGCACCCAGTTTTGCCTCTTATCAGCTAAGGACTCTTGGGCGAGTTATAGACTGTCAGTGCCTTGGTTTCCACATCTGTAAAACAGGAATAAAATCTGCCTCAAACAATCCTGCATGTTCTGCACGTGTATCCCAGAACCTGAAGGGCAATAAAATATGTATATAAAAAAATCTGCCTCATAGAGTTTTTGAAAGGAGCAAGTGATTTAACACGAGTAAAGCATTTAGAACACCATCTCTCACAAAGTAAGCACTCTGTATTCGCTATTATTATGCTTACCATTCAGTATAGTTACCACCTGAGACTGAGGGATACTTATTATATGGGACAAGGAGTTGATATTTTTGTCTCTGAGTTCAGCCCATCTCACAGTAAATTCTAAAAAATACTGTTCAATCAACTTTTTGAAAGATCCTGTTTTTTCTACTTCTTTTACTTCCTTTCTTCAGACCAAGCATGAGGGGGAAAAAATACATTCTGAATAACAAAGGTCTCTCTGATAATTGTTATAAAAATTGAATCTGAAACTCTAACAGTAAAGTATAAGCTATTGCTCCCCAAGGTGAATTTCCACATCAACACTTCTCTGTGGATTTCTCATACGATGAGATAAAAAAGGAATCACGGAGTAAGAAACTTGTCAAATCCTCTGCTGTGGGGAGGGCTGTAGGTTGTCGTCATCCCTACAAGCATGATGCTTAAGTGAAGATGAAGCCCAGGTGGCCCCAGCTGTGGGTGGGAAAGACAAGTCTTGATGGGAGAGCTGCGTGTTTCTCACTTAACACAGAAAGAGAAAAACTCAGAAAGAAAGGCTCTGATATAAAGGAAAGAATGTAAACCCAAGGCAGACATCATCCCATTTTCAGGACCCCCCTAGGTATTGTGATCCATGGCTATGTGTAAACAATTCTCTAGGTAGTGTTTCCATGCAGTTGGCTTCATGTGGTCCCCCTACTGTCTTCCCTTTGCCTCTCCACACTTTCTGAAATTGCTCCAAATCTGCAGTGCCCTCCCCACCTCCTAGGTCCAGGCTTGCCCTTCCAACCCTGCAAAACCTATCTCAGGTCCCTCCCCAAAGCTTGCTGACAGCATGGCACCCCACGCAGTGTCAAGCCCAAGGCTTCATTCACAGCAGGTTGTCAAGAAGTGCTGTTCGTTTGTTTGTTTGTGCAATGAATGACCCACGCATACTCTACCATTTGTTTGGCTTTCAACCCAGGAATTAATCTTCTTTCGACTTTCATCTGCTGCGTTTACAAAATCAACAGGTTCCAGCGATGCATGGTAATATTTTTCAACATAATCTAAGTATTTCTTTAGGAGAAACAAAGAAAGAATAAAAAGAGGTTAAAAAGTCAATTTATCAATTGACAACATCACTGAATAAATTTATGTATACATTAGGATGACTAATATGGCGAGAAAATTTTAAGGCCCTGGGCACATCATGTTGAGTGCCTGCATGCACATTTTTAGGCAGCTTATCTGGGGACAAGGTTCAGATTGCCAGGACTAAAAAGAAGCTCCCTACAGTTCTGAATGTCTGTAGGTCAGGATGGAAAAGCACTGCAGTGATGTGGCCAGAGCCAAGCAGACAACTTAGGCAGCATGACTTCAGGACCCAGGTGGGACTGTGCCATTTGGCCATTCCAGAATACGTAACTCTCAGATGTGGTAAGCACAGCAAAACTTACTTGAAGGAAGAGGTACGTTTGTTCTCCAAACAGCCTGTTGGTTATGTTCAGTTCATAATCATTAGTGAGTTTCCTTATTTCAGTCAAAAACTTTTGGAATTGTTGATGTATTGCTTCTGTCTTCTCAATCTTGAAAATTAAAACAAAAACTCAACAGGTTATCTTGGCAAAAGCAAACCTGGGTTCTCCTCTATGAGGATGTGGCTGCTGGGTCTCTCCCTGAGTTTGTTAGCCTCAAGGGTGGTCCCCGTGTTTGGTGTGGCCCCTGGATATCAGGTGGCTTTTACCCAAGACATAGGACAATGTAAGTTATGACCAATCTCAGTTCCAGAGAAAAGCCTTTTCTGCAAGCCCAACACCACAGATCTTGCTTTTATAACCCAAGTTGTGGTTTGTTTGGTCTCAAACAAAAGTGCTCACTAAATGTTCAATAAGCTTGTTTTTAGCTCCCCACAAGATTCTAAGCACTTAAAGGAAGTAAATAATTTCCCCAAACAATTCTTATCTACTGAAGTTTGGAAATTTTTTCCAGATAGTGAATAAGAAAAGTGACTCCTGATGGTTTGAGTCACTACACGTTGGGCTGAAGTGAGATTTGTCCTTGTCACCAGGAGGAAAAAAACAAACTTTTCTGGGTATTTTATGTAGGACCCATCAGTTTTCTGATTGAAGGTTTCATATTCTATGTTACCTTACTAACATATCTAGAATGTCATTATTTCAACATATAAATACAATAAATATTAATTATACATTAATATATAAAACATACATATTTCATCAAAAAATAATATATTAAAATTAATATTTTATATTCTCATACTAAGTTCTTGAAATACAATATGCATTTTATTTTTTATTATTATACTTTAAGTTCTGGGGTACATGTGCAGAAAGTGCAGGATTGTTACATAGGTATACACGTGCCAGGGTGGTGTGTGGCATCCGTCACCCCATCATCTACATTAGTTATTTCTCCTAATGCTATCCTTCCCCTATCCCCCCTCCCCCTGCTACCCCTCCCCTAGCCCTCTACCCCTCGACAGGCCCTGGGGTGTGATGTTCCCTTCCCTATGTCCATGTGTTCTCATTGTTCAACACCCACTTATAAGGGAGAACATGCGGTGTTTGGTTTTCTGTTCTTGTGTCAGTTTGCTGAGAATAATGCTTTCCAGCTTTATCTATGTCCCTGCAAAGGACATGAACTCATCCTTCTTTACGGCTGCATAGTATTCCATGATGTATATAGCCACATTTTCTTTATCCAGTCTATCATTGATGGGCATTTGGGTTGGTTCCAAGTCTTTGCTATTGTGAGAAGTGCTGCAATAAACATACATGTGCCTATATCTTTATAAATGAATGATTTATAATCCTTTAGGTATATACCCAGTAATGGGATTGCTGGGTCAAATGGTATTTCTCATTCTAGATACTTCAGGAATTGCCACACTGTCTTCTACAATGGTTAAAGTAATTTACACACTCACCAACAGTGTAAAAGCATTCCTACTTCTCCACATCCTCTCCAGCATCTGTTGTCTCCTGATTTTTTAATGATCGCCATACTAACTGGTGTAAGATGGTCACTCAATGTGGTTTTGATTTGCATTTCTCTAATAACCAGTGATGATGAACCCTTTTTCATATATTTGTTGGCTGCATAAATGTCTTCTTTTGAGAAGTGTCTGTTCATACCCTTCATCCACTTTTTGATAGGGTTGTTTGTTTTTTCTTGTAAATTTGTTTAAGTTCTTTGTCAATTCTGGTTTTTAGCCCTTTGTCAGATGGTAGCTTGCAAATTTTTTTTCCATTCTGTTGATTGCTCATTCACTCTAGCGATAGTTTCTTTTGCATGCAGAAGCTCTGTAATTTAATTAGATCCCATTTGTCTATTTTGGCTTTTGTTGCCATTGCTTTTGGTGTTTTAGTCATGAAGTCCTTGCCCATGCCTATGTCCTGAATGATTAACTATGTTTTCTTCTAGGGTTTTTATGGTGTTAGGTCTTATGTTTAAATCTTTAATCCATCTGGAATTGTTTGTTGCATAAGGTATAAAGAAGGGATCCAGTTTCAGCTTTCTGCACATGGCAAGCCAGTTTTCCCAATGCCATCTGTTAAATAAGGAATGCTTTCCCTATTGCTTGTTTTTCTCAGGTTTGTCAAAGATAAGATGGTTGTAGATGTGTAGCAACACTTCTGAGGCCTCTATTCTGTTCCATTGGTCTATATCTCTGCTTTAGTACCAGTACCATATTTTTTTGACTACTGTAGTCTTACAGTATACTTTGAAGTTAGGTAGCATGATGCCTCCAGATGCCTCCAGCTTTTTTTTTTTTTCTTTTTTCCTTAGGATTTTCTTGGGTATGTGGGCTCTTTTTTGGTTCCATACGAAATTTAAGGTGTTTGTTTGTTTGTTTTCCAATTCTGTGAAGAAATTCAATGGTAGCTTGATGGGGATAGCATTGAATCTATAAATTACTTTGGGCAGTATGGCCATTTTCACAATATTGATTCTTCCTAACCATGAGCATGGAATGTTTCTCCATCTGTTTGTGTCCTCTTGTATTTCCTTGAGCAGTGGTTTGTAGTTCTCCTTGAAGAGTTCCTTCACATCCCTTGTTAATTGTATTCCTAGGCATTTTATTCTTTTTATAGCAATTATGAATGGGAGTTCACTCATGATTTGGCTCTCTGTTTGTCTGGTATTGGCATATAGGAATGCTTGTGATTTTTGCACATTGATTTTGTATCCTGAGACTTTGCTGAAGTTGCTTATCAGCTTAAGGAGATTTTGGGCTGAGACAATGGGGTCTTCTAAATACACAATCATGTTGTCTGCAAATAGAGACAATTTGATTTCCTCTTTTCCTAATTAAATACCCTTTATTTCTTTTTCTTGCCTGGTTGCCCTGGCCAGAACTTCCAATGCAATGTTGAAAGGGAGTGGTGAGAGAGGGCATCCTTATCTTGTATCAGTTTTCAAAGGGAATGCTTCCAGTTTTTGCCCATTCAGCATGACAATGGCTGTGGGTTTGGCATAAACAGCTCTTATTATTTTGAGATACATTCCATCAATACCTAGTTTATTGAGAGTTTTTAGCATAAAGGGCTGTTGAATTTTGTTGAAGGCCTTCTCTATAAATAGTCATGTGGTTTTTGTCTTTGGTTCTGTTTACGTGATGGATTACTGATTTGTGTATGTTAAACCAAACTTGCATCCCAGGAATGAAGCCAACTTGATCATAACGGATAAGTTTTTTGATGTGCTGTTGGATTCTGTTTGCCAGTATTTTATTGAGGATTTTTGCATCAACATTCATCATGGATATTGGCCTGAAATTTTCTTTTTCAGTTGTGTCTTTGCCAGGTTTTGGTATCAGGAGGATGTTGGTCTCATAAAATGAGTTAGGGAGGATTCCCTCTTTTCTATTGCTTGAAATAGTTTCAGAAGAAATGACCAGCTCCTCTTTGTATAACTGGTAGAATTCAGCTATGAATCCATCTGGTCCTGGAGTTTTTTTGGTTGGTAGGCTATTAATTGCTGCAGCAATTTCAGATCTTGTTATTGGTCTATTCAGGGATTCAGTTTCTTCCTGGTTTAGTCTTGGGAAGGTGTAAGTGTCCAGAAATTTATGCATTTCTTCTAGATTTTCTGGTTTATTTGCACAGAGGTGATTATAGTATTCTCTGATGGTAGTTTGTATTTCTGTGGGATCACTGGTGATATTCCCTTTATCATTTTTTATTGCATCTATTTGATTCTTCTCTCTTTTCTTTCTTATTAATCTGGCTAGTAGTTTATTTTGTTGATCTTTTTAAAAAACCAGCTCTGCTCAGTTGCTGTATATATTTCCCAGAAACTTTGTTTACTCAAGTGAGGTTAAAACCACCTACCTAAAAAAAAAAAAAAAAAAACAAAAAAAAACCATCTACTTGAGCTTCAGCAATGGTGGGTGCCCCTTCCCTCACCGAGCTTGAATGTCCCAGGTCAAGCTCAGACTGCAGTGCTGGTTACAAGAATTTCAAGCCAGTGGGTCTTAGCTTGCTGGTATTCATGGCTGTGGGTCCCACCGAGCCAGATCACTTGGCTCCCTGGCTTCAGCCCCCTTTTTCAGGGGTTTGAGGGGTTCTGTCTTGCTGGCATTCCAGATACCACTGGGATATGAGGAAAAAGAAACTGCTGTGGCTGAAATGGCCACCTAGTTTTTTGCTAGAAACCCGGGGCACTGGTATTATATGCACCAGGGGGTATCTCTTGGTCTGTGGGTTGTGAAAATCATGGGAAAATTGCAGGATCTGAGTCAGAACGTCAGAGTGCCAGGAAAAGTCCCTAATGGCTTCCCTTGGCTAGGAGAGGGAGTTCTCCAGCCCCTTGTGCTTCCCAGGTGAGGTGACACCCCACCCTGCTTCTGCTCACCCTCCTTGGGCTACACCCACTGTCTAACCAGTCCCAATGGGATGAACCAGTTACTTCCATTGGAAATACGAAGATCACCTGCCTTCTGCTTCGCTCTCACTGGGAGCTGCACACCGGAGCTGTTCCTATTCAGCCATCTTGCCAGCAATCCTCCTATAATATGCATTTTATATCTATAGCACATCTAAATTTAAACTAGATATATTTTAAGTGTTCAATAGCCACATGAGTAGCTACCATACTGGATAACTTAATACTAGATAAACTCTCACTCAGGCAAATTAGGAGGCTTGTATTAAAAGGGCCATTTTTGCATTGTTTGAGGAAGGAGGGAGGGAGTGAGGGAAGAAAGGAAGGAAGGAAGGAAGGAAGGAAGGAAGGAAGGAAAGAAGCCAGGCCTGCCTTATCAATAGAATAAATGAGGAAATAGCTATAAAAATGAATCAAGAAAAAAAAAAAAGAATCAAGTAGGGCTAAAAGTATCCACTTAAAATAGACGAATCTTATAAACACAATGCTATGCCAAAAATAATCAAGTTACAAAGAATAATGACAAAAAGATATGGTATGTAATGAAATAATAAATATATGGAAATAACGAACACCTAATCCACAATAGTTGGACTTCCTTTCTCAGGAGATGATGGGGCTGTGCTTGACAAAGGTATTATACATCAGCCTAAGGGGCATCAGTTGATACGGTAATGGTATATTCCTTATACTGAAAAGAAGGGTTAAACGGTGTTTATTTCATTTTTCCTTCTACCTTTTGTGCATAGGTCTTGAGATTTTATCAGCATCTTTTTAAAGCAAGATTCAGAATACCCTGAATTTATATAATAATCAAATGGGTACATGTCAAGCCAGTCTCTAAACAAATTATTAAATGAAGAGATTGGAGTAGATGACTTCTAAGAAGTATTCCAGCCCTAATATTCTTTCAGTCAGTAATTCTATTTTCTTCACATCTCTGTGGCTCCCAGACAAATCCTGGGCAATGGGCAAAGCTGCCAGACAGCATGTGTGTGTAAGTTGTGCCTTACACAAAGCTGAAATTCAGTTCCCACCCCAGTCATCTAGCCCTTCACTCAAGAGTAGGGCAGCTATCCAAAAGAATGAGCTTTTTCTGATTTGCCCAAAGGTTCTATATGGGCTATAATGGCTGAGAAGGAATGTGCTCTGAGAACAACCACACTCTTCAATTGAGGGGACATTGCAGTGCCTCTATGACCCAACCTCATTGTACAAACCATGAAAGGAACCCTGACTCTCCACAGATGCAACTGAGCCACCCAGACAACCTAGCCTTTGCGGTTGTGAAATGAGAAGCTCATATTGCTGGGTGATCTGAGCTATGGTTTTATGAGGGTCTGCAATTGCACTATGACTACTGTCAGAGCAGCTGTACCCTACCTGACAGTGCTAACATCTCCTGATGCTAGCCCTGATTACCTAATGGGCTTATTCCTTTCCCGTGTTTGACTAGACTCTCCTTTGGGTGGGGAATACTGGAACACTGGAGCTGGAAAAGACCTCAGGAGGTCATTGGGCCTGTACTAACTTTCTACATACAACATCAGCAGGGGGCTAAAAATATGAGTGGAGTTTAGCAATTATATCACCTACTGCTACCCGCCACCACCACTGGCTGAGTTATGAGATGCCCCTACTGGACACTTTACAGAGGCTGAAAGAAGACAAATAACTTACCCAAAGTAGCATTTAAGTGACTGAGCCAGGACTTGAACGTAAATCTGTTTAACTCCAAAACCCATCAACTCTGCTCTGGGAATTTTTCAGTCTATTAGCCTTTACCAGTTCTATCACGGTGGCATTGTTCACTATACCTAAGGTCTCTTCTTAATACTAAGGGGTTATTATTATTGTGTAATCTACACAACATAATTTGTCTACAGTGATTATTACTGCTTAACAATAAAGAAATGTTACATCTTTTATGCCTTTCTCAGTCCTTTTCCCCAAAGAGCCCACATCAAAAATGCAACTCTACTGAAGATTGTAAAACACGTCTCCCCACCTCTTTTTCTTCAGCCTTTATTCCTGAGGTCTTCGTATCTTTTTCAGAGTGAAACACCTAGAAGAGACAGAAAATATTACTGTGGTGCTCAGAGAAGAGAAAACTTCACACCGAATCAGTCAGAGGACAGTGGACACTTGTGAAATATATACAGGTGAATATATTTCAGTCAGGGGAGAGTGGATGACTGTGAAATACATATAGGTATACAGGTGACATTCTCCCCTTGAAAAATCATGAAAAGGTCTATGTTTACCTATGATTTTCTTTCTTTCTTTTCTTTTTTTTTTTTTTTTTTTGAGAGGAAATTTTGCTCTTTCTGGCAGGCTGGAGTGAAGTGGCACGACCTCAGCTCACTGAAACTTCTGCCCCCCAGATTCGAGCAATTCTCCCACCTCAGCCTCCCCAATAACTGGGATTATAGGCGCCCACCACCATGCCCAGCTAAGCTCACACCTGTAATCCCAGCACTTTGGGAGCCTGGGGCAGGTGGATCACCTGAGTCAGGAGTTCGAGAGCAACATGATGAAACTCCGTCTCTACTAAGAATACCTCTGATTTTTTTTCTAAGGAGCTTGTACTGGTTTATTAGTTTCTGTATTCATCTTGGATGTGTCATTTTTACTCTAGTAGGGATTATGTTACATATTCCATAAGTACTTTTCATGCCCCGTCTTTATTATGAGTGAAATGGCTTTGGAAAAGGTCACTCAACCAGTCCCTACTCAAAGGAATTTCAAGCATCTGAGAGCAGGTGGAGCGATGGTATTTGGAAAGGGAAGAGGGCTTTCCTGATAGACCTGAAATTGCTCCCTGTCTTAATAGTTTTTGTTTCCTGGTCCACAGGTCAAGATGAGCATTTTGTTAAGACAATGCAAGAGGGCTGACGAACTCCCCAAACAAACTTGTGCATAGAAAAGAAGAAAGACCCCCTCAAACCACACTAACCTTCTGCAACTGGGAAGCGGTGGCTCCTCGAGTCCCTGGGAGAAGCATGCCAATGGCAGTTGAGATGCTCACAGGGGAAAAGAAGATGTTACCGTCATTCGTTTTCTTCAGCTCTTTGAAAAGATCAAACCCAAGTCGAGTGCTGATGGCACCGAATGAATCCATGACGATTTTAGTGAGATCTAAAACAGGAAGAACAACAATCAAAACTGAACATTCGAATTGCTCTGTGTCGTGGGAACGCTTCCTGCTTCTATTCCTCTTCTTTCATTGATCCGGAAAATAGGGATTTCCACTCTTGGTGAAAGGTCGCTGCTGCCTGCTTTTCACATCCTCTCTTGGCCTTCTCTTGCCAGGAGACATCAATCAGTCCACTGGAATCTGCCATCATCCAAGGGTACTCAGTTCTTATTTCCCCAGAGAGCAGAGTTAATGTTTTAATGGCTTTATTCTCTTGTTCTCTGTCTGAACCTGCCTGCCTCTGCCATCCCACAGCCTCCTCTTTGTGGAAGCTTCCCTAGATAGACCCAGCCCTTGTCCAGGCAACACCAGTTTGTCTAGATGTGGGGCCCATGAGAAGGCCGTGGGGGGCGGTGCAAGAATCCCCACGGGCCTCAAGTTCAAGCAGTGCTCGCCCATCCAACTTATCAATAATAAAGCCAAGACTTGACTCCTGATCTGATACTATTTCTCAATTGATTCCAACTTCAGCTCAGAGAGCGACAGGACTGATTAAATCTCTCAAACTCCTTTCCCTAATTGCATTAAAAACTTGACTCTGGGCTGAATTTTCCTGGAGTGGCAACCCCGTATCTCGTCATGGATTATTAAGTGGAGGTAAAAGGGTTTCCTTTTTTTATACTTTTCTGTATTGTTTTAGGCCTGTATATGAGCTTGCATTACTTTTGTTATTTCACAAAAATAATTTTTAAAGAGGATTTAATATCTGCCAAAAATAAATAGGTAGAACAGGTTTTATGTTTGCTTCATTACCAGCTACTTTATATCTAGTTAGTAAAGGCTTTAGGAGGAATCCTAAAACAAGAATAAGATTAATGCAAAGTAAAGTTTTTGAAAGCCCATATACTTGGCGGCCTTTTGCTCTCGAGGGCTCATCCCTGCTAAGGCATCTGACATCTGATGTCAAAGCTTCCACTTTAATGTCAGGTTTCCTTGCAGGCATCCTTTACAGGTTAACTCAGAAATAAAAGGAATTAATTTATGTCAAAGAAGATGCACTGTCGTGGCCCTGTAGGAACTGAATTAAATAAAACTACTCCCAGAAAGTCTATGCACAATAAAAGTACTTCTTTCAAATCAACAAACATCATTGTTCTCAAAATACAGAGGTCTTAAATTGGAGCCAAAATAAGAACTTACCTCAGGATTTGGAGAGACAGAGGTGGCTGGGCAAGGAACTAGGAAGCATATGTCAGTTAGGTAGCTGAGATCCTTAATTTACAGTTCTCCAAATCTGCTTCAGCAGTGGTTTTCCACCTTGCGTGCACCGTAAAATCTCCTCAGGAACTTTAAAAAAATCTATGCCCAAGCCCCACCCCAGACCAACTGAGTCAGCATCTCTTGGGTGGAAACCAGGCAGCAGAATTTTTATCACCCCAGGTGATTACAACGTACAGCCAACGCTGGGAACCAAGGGTGTATAGCCTGTTGAACACATACATTAAACGCATACTTTACTTACCACAGATGGACAAAGCTGTGTCCTGACAAGTCATTCCCTGTAATAGAGTTATTTTTGCAGTCGCATTATTTAGGAGTGCCAAATGCAAAGAAGAGAAATGAAAGAAAACTATCTTGCTAGAAAAGAACAAGAAAAAGGAACAAGGAAAGTTTGGGTAGGCAGCAGCACACATGCAAACATGTGCATGCATGCGCGCGCACACACATGCGCACACACACGCACACACACGCCCCTATTCTTGTTCTCTATTCCATCCATCTATTATAAAAATATCTCATTTTAATTCATTCAATACACATTTACCAAGTCTATTATGTATCAGGGGTTTTGTCTAATGCCAATAATTCATGAACACCCAATACCCTCACTGATGTCAGGAAAACAACACTATCCAAAAAAACTCAATAGGAAATTACACCCCCAGATTCCAGTTTTTCCTGCCAACCTTGGAGCATTTCCACTGGCCCTACCAGTTCATTAAAACAAACTGTTCTTGGATTAGTCTCAGCTTTAATCTTCAGTAAAGGGCGTGGAGATTTGCCATCGTTGCTGGGCAGCAGCTCCTAGAAGGGCATCTTAGCTCTTCCTTCTGCCTAGAGGAACTCCTCCCTAGACATGCAGGCTCGAACGGCATGGGTCACGTGTGTTACAGTCTCCATACTCACAATTTGCTTTTTTCAAAATATTTTTATTTCTACTCTTTAAGCAAACTCAAAACCATATTTAATTGATTTGCTTTTTAATAGGCATGGAGAATCTTGCAAATTGAGTGACGTTTAGAAAGAATGAACACTTAGTTAACCCTGTATGAAATGGAAATGTTAGGTTTTTTTTAGTGGCATAAAATCTCTGAGCCAGCAATAATGTTTTATGTTTTAATATCCCTAACAGTTTATATCTTCTCATTTCTTTCTCTGTGGCCTCTAGACTTCCTGTTCGATTGCCCAGTCCTTTCCACAGGCCTTCTGCTTTTTGCTCAATCTTTTTCTCTACCACCTGCACTCACGGAGAAGCCTGACTTTTCCTGAAGACTACTATATTCTGCAGTCTTTTCTGGGAACAGCCACTCATGTCTTGGGAAAGTGTTAAGTCACCATTCTTATTTTCCCTCGTACTCCCACTTCTTCCAAGTCTTTCTTCCTTCAGTCACCTTCAGTGCTCCTCTTTGGAAACTTAGACCATCATACTGTGCTGCTCTCTCCTTAACCCTGGCCCCTCCAGGACTCTGTACATGGTCTTCCTATCTGCCCAGCTGCTACTGCCACCATGTACACCTTCACCACTCATGTTGCCAGTGCCTCTCACTGCTCCAACTTTCACCTTCCCTCTCTTCTTTTTTTTTTTTGAGTTGGAGTCTTGCTCTGTCACCCAGGCTGGAGTGCAGTGGCACAATCTCAGCTCACTGCAACTTCTGCTTCCTGAGTTCAAGCAATTCTCCTGCCTCAGCCTCTGGAGTAGCTGGGTTTACAGGCATCTGCCACCACGCCCAGATAATTTTTGTACTTTTAGTAGAGACGAGGTTTCACTGTGTTGGCCAGGCTGATCTTGAACTCCTGACCTCGAGATCTGCTGGCCTCAACCTTCCAAAGTGCCGGGATTACAAGTGTGAGTCACCATGTCCTGCCATACCTTCCCTCTCTTATAGCAGCCCACTCACACTGAGAACTGCCCTTGTTTAATACAAGTATCTCCATCTGGTGACAGATTCTCATCCTTGTTCTCTCTAAACCTAATTTTCAACCTTCACAACCTCTCATCACAGGACTCCTCCCTCTTCTATTTTGTCTTGTCTTTCTAGGATCAAAACTGCCCCAGAGGTGGAAAATATGTTGATGATTAAGAACCATTTAAAAAGTGATTTCTATGCTGACAAGTGAGGAGAAGAAATCATTACACCTGAAGCATGGTATTGATAGGTTCCCAACCCTGTTCCATAATTCAGTTTTGTTCCAACCTCCATGTGTCTGTTACTGATACTGACTTGTAATATTTTTCTTCTTCAAGCATATAATCTTGTAGTGGATGCTGCCGATGTTCCCACCAGATTTTCTTGACCTGCCAGCATGCCTTTTACCCAGTTGCTGCTTTGCCTTATGATTCACAGATGCCCTTTTCTTGGCTAAAGGAGAGCTACCTACCCGGGAAGCTAGGTACCACTCCATCCCCCGACCATGGCACAACTCAGGCATGACATACTGGCATAAGGGCATAAAAAAAAAACAGCCCCCAGCTGGGCACAGTGGCTCACACCTGTAATCCCAGCACTTTGGAAGGCCAAGGCGGGTGGATCACGAGGTCAGGAGTTCAAGACCAGCCTGATCAACACAGTGAAATTCTGCCTCTACTAAAAATCTTAACTACTATGTCATACCACATACAGATTTCCATTTTAAATGGATCACAAGGATAACTGAAACACACAAGAGCCTTTACAATAATAGTAAAAATTAAAAAAACTGGACGACACAAAATTTAAAAGCTTTTATTCATCAAAAAACACTATCAAAGTTGGATATATATATACCCCAAGACCTAACAATTTCAGCCCAGAGATTTACCCAACATAAACAGTCTGCTCATGGGCACCCAGAGACACATGCCCATAGCAACATTCATAATAGCCAAATACTGGAAACTCAAATATACATTAACAGCATAACACGTAAATAATGGTATGTTCACAGTGAAATCCTACACAGCAATGACAACGAATGAACTAAAGCTACAGGCAAAAAAAAAAAAAAAAGATACACTTCTCAAACAATATCGAACAAAAGAAGCCAAATGTAAAAGAATGCATACTATATGATTCTTTTTATATAAAGTACAAAAGCAGGCAAAGCTAAACTCCGGTTGACCCCTGAACAACACAGGGATTAGCGATGCCGACCTCCCTCACAGTTGATATTCCAGGCATAACTTTTTATTTTTATAATTTTCTTTTGAGAGATGGGGTCTCACTATGTCGCCCAGGTTACATTCTGGATTTGGGCACCTGGCTTCCAACAATCCTTCCACCTCAGTCTCCTGAGTAGCTGGGACTACATGCATGCATCACCGTGCTCAGCTTGTGTGTGTGTGTATATATATATATATATATATATATATATATATATATATATATATATTCCTTTACAATAATATTTTAATAAAGCTAGTAAATGTTTGCCCTTGATTACAAGAATACATATTCATAATATACAAAACTTGTAGAAAACAAAGGAAGCATAAAGAGGGCAAAAAATCACCCCTAGTTTACAACCAAAGACAAAGACTGCCAACGTATAATTTTCCACTGCACAAAAACATAGCTACTGATAGCCTACTGTTGACCAGAAAACTTACCAATAACATATAGAGTCAATTAACTCAGGTTTTGTATGTTATATGTATTACATACCATATTCTTACAATAAGGTAAGCTAGAGAAAATATAACATTATTAAGAAAAGTAAAAAGAGAAGATGTATTTACTATTCATTAAGTGGAAGCGCATCATCTATAAAGTCCGTCTATTTTACTGGTGTTAAATTCTCCAGCTTTAGACCCTGCACCTTCCTCTTGCTTTAAGTTGTCATATAATGACTTTGGTTTTTCTCTGATCATATTAGAGTATATAGGTTTAGCTTTCTTATAGTAATTCTGCCCCCATATAAGAGCTACATTTTCAGTGTAAAATGAAAATGTGTTTCTCAAAAAGAGAAAGATTTTCGTATCTGCTAGTGTAGCTGCAGAGCCAGCTTCACATTGAGTAGGCTGAGGCAGAGGAGCAAGAGGAGCGGTCGGCCTGGCTGTTTCAAGAGCGGCAGAGGCAGAAGAGGTAACGAAGTTGGAATAGAAGGCAGGAGAAGCATAGACACTTGGTGCAACTTTACAGAAATACATTCTCATTTCTGACTTTTTCTTTTTTTTTTGCTTCTTTGTTTCTCTAAAGATGTTTCCACATGGTACCAATCCTGCTTCCATAATTTGCTTTAGTTTTAGTGCCTGTGTTGTCAAAGGGTCCATGTCAAAAAGAATTTAAAAGCAGCCTTCAGTAATCAGAAGCCTTCTGCCAGATTGTCTAATGTCAGTTTGTTTTCTGGCACTCCTTCTTTTATGTCTTCTTTCATCATCTGGAGCTGGTTCAGCGGCACTCATCTCCATAAAATTCCCTTCTGTTAATCCCTGTGGTGTGGAATCTATTTGCTCTTGAATTTCCCCAAGATCCATATCTTGAAATCCTTCACCCCCTAACTTTTTTTTTATTTGTCATATCCACAATCTTTTTCATAGTTTCCTTGATTGGTTCTGTCGTAAATCCTTTGAGGTCATGCACGACATCTGGACGCAGTTTTCTTTGGCAGGAATTTGTTGTTTCAGGCTTGATAGCTGTTGTAGTTTTTTCTATAACAATGATGGCATCATCAGTAGTATAATCCTTCCAGATTTCCATGTTCTTTCTACTAGGATTCTCTTCAATAGCGTTGGCAATCCTTTCCATAGAGTACCTTGTGTCATGACATTTAAAGTCCTGATGGCCCCCTGATTTAGAGGCTGAATTACAGATACTGTGTTTTGGGGCAAAGAGACAACTTTGATGACTTCAAAGTTGAACTAATGAGGTTCTAGGTGAACAGGGGCATTGTTCGATAGCAAAAGAATTTTAAAAGCCAGTCTCTTTCTGGCAAAGCACTTCCTGGACAAAGCACTGTTGAATCAATCCAGAAAAAGGATTCTCATATTCCAGGACTTCTTTTTGTACAATCCAAATACTGGCATCTTTTCCCTTCAAGGGTTGGGGGTTAGTGCTATCAATAAAGACAATTTTGATTATAAACCCAACTGTATTTGTACAAAACAGTAGCATTAACTTATCCCTTCCTGCCTTAAATCCTGATGACCTCTTACTTACTGATACATGTCATTTGCATCCTTTTTTTCCATCAGGATAGGGCATTTTCATCTGCTTTAAAAATGTGGCCAAGTAGATATCCTTTCTCCTCAATTATTTTCCTATGGCATCTGGGAGTTTGTTTTCTGCCTTTTGGTCATAAAATAATGTTATCTTG